CAAGCTCGCAGCCACCCCAAACGACCACCCCGTACACAGCCAAACGACCCCTGCTCCTTCATCATCTTCTTCTTCATCTTTAAATCGAAACTCGCTGGAAAACGACCCCTACCTCTCTCTCTCTCTCTCTCTCTCTCTCTCTCTCGTTTCTATCTCACTTCCGTCACCAACATACTCACTAGAAATGAGAGAGCAGCAGCTGCTCAGGAACGCACACACATGTAGAGTAGTAGGGGGACGGACAAAAGTAGAGGAGAGCCAGTCCATGAAACTCCATTGAAATCGCCTTTTGAAGCTCCATGAAAATTTACTAAAGAACAGCTCAAAAATACCAAAACAGATCTAACGTCCGTCGTCGACCAAACAGGTTCGAATGAGTTGAGTTTCGTCGAGGTATGTTTCTATTGATGCTCTCTTTGAAGTAATCAAAGTTCGTATATGATTCATTAATGGGAATGTGACATTTATCTTAATTAGTGTCTAGAATCTAATTTGCTTGCCGTGATTGAATTGGACTATTTCATGAATCAATTAAGGGAGGAAGTTGAGTTAATTAGCCGAGTTGAATTAAAGGGGCCACAGAAGTGAAAGTTGAAAGATGACGGAATTGTGTTTAATATGACTCGCTTTAATGTTTCTATTTAGTTATTGTTAGCTCTTTCATTGAACGCTAGGAGCATGCTTTAGGCCGACCACACCTGGGTAGGCATTCTTTAGGATTTGTTCGTTCGAGGCGAAAGGTCGTCCCTTTTAGTTAGTTAATTCATCAGGGGAATGCCCCGTAGGGTTTGTATATATATATATATTTTGTGTTCTTTTATCAGGGGTATGCCCCTAAGTGAATGTAATTGAAGGCCGTGACGGACATGGTAGAGTGAACATAGTATAGGATATTATTATTTTATTGTTTAGTTTAATCTATTTGGGGACGATCTCGAGCCTCTTGTGTGTTTATTTTTCTTTTTCTGTGTTTTTCGCCTCAATTCGAATATTTTTAAAAGCCAACTTGATCATGTACGCAACCGTACTAGCTACGAGACTCGGGGAATGCCTAACACCTTCTCCCCGAGTCAAATGAATCCCCTTACCCTAATCTCTGGTGCGGACTTATGTTTTGGAGTCTAAAGTGTTTTAAAGGAAAAATTATTTTTTTTTAAAAAAAAACGGTGACCTGGCACACCGAAATCAATGTCAGGTGGCGACTCTGAGTTATTTCCTTTTAAACACAATGTTTTTCACTTTTTTTAATTAAAAACCCTTTTGAGCTTTACAAATTTCTTTTATTTTTAAGAGGGTTAGTGAGTTTGTTAAAAAGGGGGTGTGACATGATACATTTTTCCCTGAACTCTAAATGTATATATATCACGATTTTTCTTGGCTAAATCTTTGTCATAAGTAGCACCAAGTGAGGTAAAAGCAAACAGATTGTTATATGTTCTAATGCATATCTGAAAGTGCTTGGATTTTGCACAAATTCCTGTATATAAATTTCTCAGTCTAGGTGCCATTCTCTCAGAAGTTAACTTAACTGAACCGCGGCCACAACAAAATCCAGGTGATTCATATTGAAATTTTTTTGCGAAGCAGAATTTACAGTTCGAAACTTTTTTTAACGGCACATAATCAGGGAATAATCGCATAATATTAGTCATATTTCTCTTATTCTTTACGTGACCTGCATATATCAAACAACCTTAAGGAATAGAAAAGAAGAAAAAAGGAACAATAGAGTTAAAGTGTTTTGTTGATACTAACCATCGAGCAGAACTATTTCAGTAGTTGGAGCACTTGATTTACCTAAAGTACTTGATGTCGAACCTGGTTCAAGATAGTTGCCAATTAAATATTTGCGCATAGTAAACGAAGAAAAATAAATGGTCATAACAGATTTATAGGCTTACCCTTTTCAAAAATAGAAATAGGATGAATCACATTTTTCCATTTGTCAAGCACATTTAGAGGCGTAAAAATCTCATGATCAGTTGCAACTGCAATAAAATATAATTTGTAAACATAGAGATTGCAGGAGAGTAACCACTGCGCATACACACTCATACAGAAGACACATATGCGAGGAAATAAGGAATAATGAATTTGATATTCTAACCTATTTTTGAAATAGAACAAGAGCCTCTAATAATAACATCACCCTGAATTGCAGACATTGATTCAGCAAGATTGACAGATTTTCTACTTCCAAGAAGACGATTAGTTGTTGCCTCTCTCTTTTTGAGGCGGCGTTGCAGTAGAAGTGCGTTCTTTTTAGCCGTGTCCATGTCATGATATAGTTCATGCCACTTCGCATTCTTATCGCGATTTTCTGTTGTTATGCAAGGTTGTTTTCTTTTTTGTTGACGATCCATTCACGAAGAAATTTAAGTTTTATAAGTGTCAGCCAATCACTTTTGCAACTTTTTATTAGTTTGAAACAAAGATAAAAGACCATACATGAACATTGGCGTACATTATTTTCTTCAAATATTTAAAAAGGAACAACAGATAACACTTAGTATACTATAAATACATGAAAGCAAAACATAAAGAGTAAAGTCATGTAATTTCAAGGCTGCACCTTTTTTCAATAAGAATTTTATAAAAATATTATACAAAAGAAAATGGAGAGAAATAAAGCATCCACAGATTTTTCATAACGGTAAAAAAAAAATCTAAGTAAGAGCCCAAATAAGGCAAAACCATAAGAGTCAGCCATTCTATTGGCACAACATAAGCCAAAGATTGTTGACGGTTGACCAAAAAACCTAACTCAGCTTGTCATCAATTGATCATCCGCTATTTAGATATACTTAATACGAACAATAAGCTTCATACATATTGTACCCTGCATAATTTCCAAAACGATGAAGAGAAATGTAAATAAGAGTCAAATAAGGCGAAAGCATAACAACCAGCTTTGCCTTTGGTGCAACAAAGCAGTAGACTATGAAGCAAATAAAACTAACAAGTTCAATCTTTAACTACAATCAGAAATGAAAAAATAAATCAAATCTTTAACTATACCCAGGGAAAAATACCAAAAAATTAATCAATAACTAGACTATAAAGCAAATAATACCAAAAAGTTCAATCTAAGTACAACCAGAACTGAAAAAATAAATTAAATATTTAACTACACCCAGGGAAAAAACACCAAAAAATTAATCAATAGCTAGACTATGAAGCAAATAAAACAAAAAAGTTCAGACTTTAAGGTTTTAACTCTACCCAGAAAAACACACACACAAGCACAAAGTTCCATCTTTACCTATGTTCAGAAACAAAAGCGAAAAAAGAAAGATCAATGAAAACAGAATATAAGCTATAGAGGGTATCGTGCTACGACGTTGTTCAGCACCGACGGCAAGAACAAAGGCGATGAGATGAAAGGCAATCACTATTACAAATATAGGAATAGAGACCCCCATTACTACTGAGCCAAATTCAAGAACTGATTCTTCACTTTGTTTTTCCACTACTTTTTAATGTTTCACCTCAATCTACTTTTATTTATTTTTAATAATAAGAAGCATGATCTATTGATCAGTGACAACAAAATTTTATATATATCCACAAAATCACATCAGAAATGGGACAAATCCATTTTCCACAAAACCCCAGAATACTTCTACAGACAACTATAAGAACTATGCATATAACAGTTGAAGACATGACACATCCTTTATAAAGATATATAATACATAAAATATATTGTCACCAGTTAAGCATATTGTCAAGCGCTTTCGCTACATCAAAGTTCTCCTTTGTTTAAATAAAATATCATTAGGTACTCTATTCTTTATAGCCACCACAATGCATCAGAGAGCTCATACAATAACGGTAAATACACAGATTTTAGGATTGGCTACATCAAACACAGTAACATAATATGCAAGATCGATTAGTGGTTAATAGTTTATTTTTACAATAAAAATGCAAATAAAGAACAAGGAATGCATAAATAGTGACAATCAACTAAACTTATTTACCTCTAATACAGTAATACTATTTTATGAACCATATACTAAATACAGATATGTGCTCTTTACCATACATCGAAGAAATGAAAGCCATGGACAAACCCAAAATTTTCTCAAATTTGTCCTTGTCTTTCATCTCTGGTTCCAAAAGGTAAAATCATTCCAACATCTTTAAAAGCATAAACAGATACATCAAGATCACTGAACCCGCCAAACGCTTCAAGAACAACATCAGCAAATATACTCAAAGGGGTTAAGTGAGTAATTGTGGGAATTGAATTCGACCCAACTGAAATGGGAAACAACTCCAAATATCCCAGTTTTTTCTGGACGAATGACAAAGAATGATGGACGAATAATTTAATCAGCTTAAACAATTTATATGCAACAGCTATTTCAAAAATCAAGAAAACAAGAAACTAAAACTCACCTTATAACTGTACAATCAAGGCGAATTAACTGTCCAAGAAGAGAGAAGACTAAAAGAAACAAGGAAAATTGGAAGAGCAGATAAGCAGTGATGGAAATTTTGAAGAAGAAATAAAGTGTAGAGAAATTGGGAGGAAACAGAGTGTAGATATGATTGTTTGGGCGGTGTAAAGTAACGTGTCAAAACTAAAGTAGGATTAACACCTGAATTTTACCAAAGTATTCGCAGTTTTTCCAAAATATCCCCGGACGACCCCAAGCTCCTCAAACTGTCGCTTATTTGTTTTTCCAAAATACCCCCGGACGACCCAAGCTCCTCAAACTGTCGCTTATTAATAAGGGGAATATCATACTGAATGTCGTTAAATTGCACATTTCTTTTTGTCTTTTCTCTCTATTCTTTTCATAGTTTGCATCATAAGGTTGCCTTATAGAGAATTAACTATACTTGTTCATAAATTTTGTAAGAAAAGATTCGATTGGTCTCTGAAGATTGACGTCTTTTTCAAAATAAATTGCACCCAATACCACAACATTCATAGCAATTTTCGAGTACATATCTGATTTTTACCATAAATTTGGAAAGACATTTTAAATTTAAAAATCGAGACAATATTATAATTAGCCAAGAAGTAATCGAGAAACGAAATTGAAGCACAAAAAGAACAATTAACTGTGAGGGTTTTACCAAGAAGTGGGTCAACGGATCCAAATTACTCTGTGGGTAAAGCCGCCCATTAAATTTATACATATTTTTTTGAAAAAGAAAATTGATATTCATTTTTGCATAATTTTCAGATATATATTTTCTTTTTTTTCCGCTGCTGCTTTCTTTTTCGTTGTGCTTAGGTTTCTTCTTCTTCTTCATCTTAGTTTGCAAAATGAGTTTGTTAAATTAGTTGTTGGTTAGACAATTTGATGATTGAGATTTATTCTTTATTATATTTGAAAGTTATGTTTTACATTTGAGCTCATCTAGAATAGGTTTTGGGCCTTAAATCGTGTATTGAATTGTTAAAATTTGAAGCACAAGTTTATGTTTCAGAACATAAGATTCGAATTTTGAAGTTGTATTGAAGAGATTGAACTACTTAAGTTTCAAATTTCTAAAGTTGCATTTGAAGGATAGAAGAACTTCATATTTGTTTTCTGAAGTTGCATTGATGAAATGGAACTACTTAAGATTTTGAATTTTTGAAGTGCCATTAAAGAGATTGAACTACTTTAGATCCGAGCGGGAACTTGTTGCAAAATTTTGTACAATACGGGTATAACATAAATGATGACGGCAAAAGTGGTTATGTATGAAAATGCCCCACAAGTATACCTAGTGCGGTTTGCTATTGGCTGTATAATTCTTTTACGTAACCCCAATAGCTGCTTACCTAACCGCTTAAACTAAAAATAGCCGATGAAAGTAGAGTATATGCACAATTAATGTATTATATGTCACACCTTCTTTTCCCGACGGATAGGGAGTTTTCCAATTAAAGTGACGTTATCGAAATGGGATTATTTAATTAATGAGAGTCGCCACTTGGAATAATTTATGGTGTCCTAAGTCACTGGTTTGTTGTGAATCCCGAATCAAAGAAATTGACTCTATTTATGATCCGTGAACACATAAGACCATGTACAGAATTCTGTTAACCCGGGAGAAGGTGTAAGGCACTCCTAAGTTTCGTGATTTTAGCACGGTCTCTCAACTATTAATAATTGACATAATTATCTGATTTATTATATGTTTAAATCTATTGTGCATTTTTAACTTTCTAACCGCTTTTAATAGAGTTTTAATTGCTTTTAGGATTTATGAAATTTATTTAAATAAGTCACAATGGTGCGCACTTGTTGTATTCGAACACATTGCGAATCGCGTCACGTGAAACACACCCGCGATTTACAACATATTTATTTTTGTTATTATTTGAAGTTATGGTCGAGTCATGTGAAACACACACTCAAATTAGGAATTATATATCCTGATTATGCCACGAAAACCGTACCCATAATCACAATAATTTATTTACGCGCGTGTTCATGGTTTTTCTAAAACTAATTCAGGATTATTGTGAGGTCAACAACTATGGATTTATTGTGAAGAAATGACGGTACTTAATTATTGAACTAATGCTTAAAGATACAGAGGCAATTGGTATTCATTTATCAACTGACGTAGGCCAACCTTTAAATTTTACCACAAAAGTCCCAATCTTTAACGGGCACTAAATAATGTATGAAAGGGCACACACAAATGAGCAGAACTTGATGTTTACAGGTGTTTAACAGGGAAAGAAAAATTATGTTAAATAGCAATAATTGTCACGACCCAATTTTATTATAGGTTATGATGATGCCCAACATCATTGTCAGGTAAGCCAACTCGAAGATATTAGTGTGTTCTCATTTTACTTTACCAAAACAACTCCAGCATTTTCTTAACTTGAATTTAAAACAAGTGATAATTAAAAACTTAAAGTAATAGATATACAACCCAAAAGAATAGTCTACCAATGTGTGTGTCAAGACCTGGTGTAACAAGTATATGGGCATCTAGTAAAATATACAAAAGAATAAATCTGTCCTACTGTCTGAAATAGAATAGACAGTCAAAACAAAGAGAGACTCCATCATGCTGCTGGACGGCATAGGAAGGGAGCAGCTCATCGTGGAATCTCGGCCTACTATCAAGGATGCACACCAGATGGGTAGCCAGATGTACCTGCCTCAGATCCTGTACAATTAAGTACAGAAGCGTAGTATGAGTACATAAACAACATGTACCCAGCAAGTATCCAGTCTAACCTCGAAGAAGTAGTGACGAGAGGTCGACTTGACACTTACTAAGGTCAATGCCAATAATAATTAAATATTACACTAAGTATGGATAACATGAACATAATGGCAAGCTCAGAATTTAAAGAGTACAGTATATCACTTTCGGCCATGTCTTAGAATAATTGCACTTCAAGGCATTTAACAGAGTAAGTCATGGATAAGATTTCACATAAATATCATACGCACATTATGCCGAAGTCATACAGCCCGGTCCAACATAAAAGAAATTATGCACTGCCAGAGGGTCGAATGGCGCGAACCATAGATGCATCTATTTCTACCGAGGCAATCGGCCCGATCCACAATAATCAATTATTATCAAGAAGGCACATAAAGGCGCAATCATATTCAAATAAGTTCACACAAGTTCTCAAGTAAGTGCATACGTTCGTTTATGTTTATTTTCAATCCCTAACATGTCCTAAGTGATCTCATTAGCATGAAAGAATATAAGCATTTGCAAGTATGGCATAATACGGGTCCGAAACTACTCGTACAATTAGCATAATAGTAGCTACGCACAGACTCTCGTCATCACGTACGTACGTAGCCGCCACAAACAATCTCATACATTTATTAGATTCACTTAGGGGTTTATTTCCCTCTTACGAGGTTAGAAAGGAGACTCACCTCGCTCCAAAGCTTACTTCCAATATCAAGAATGTGCTCAAACCCTTAACTCCGCAGCCGAACGATCCATAACTAATTAAACGGGGTAAGAACTAGTCAATACAAGCTCAAGAGTTCATATTCCAACTATTAAAGTAATTCCCCAACCCTAAATACAAGTTTCCTAAAATCCATCCCCGGGTCCACGTACCCGGATTCCAATTTTTTTTTTTTGAGGGAAGTTGTTACTCATAACCTAAGGATCAAGAATATATGATTTCTGTTTCATTGCATAATAAAGTTCGTGGTTAAATCTTGTTTTTATCAAAACCCTAGGTTTTACTCTAATCCCATGATTTTCACTAATCTTTATGTGTTAATCTACCCAAAACCCAAGTATTAAACTCACATTAAGTAGAAATAACTTACCTCACAATGATAGATTGAAATTCCCTCTTTGGAAGCTCCCAAATCGCCCAAACAATGAAGGAAATGTGTAAAAAAATGGCACATTCCCGTATTAAATGAAGGCACTGCCTTCAACGATTTTCGCACCTGCGGTTCGGGGCAACTCGCTTCTGCGGGTGAATGTCCGCATCTGTGGAGCTGGGCTGGGCTGGCTGGGACCGCTTCTGCGGTCTGGGGCCGCTCCTGCAGGTCCGTTTCTGCGGAAAAGGAGCCGCATTTGCGGTTCCTGGGCTCCTCCCCCTTGGCCGCACCTGCGAGGGCTCGACCGCTTCTGCGGTCTCGCACCTGCAGCTGACCAACCGCAGGTGCAGTTATGACAGATACCTGGAGTTTCAGCTCCTTTCAAAATTTTACAACTTCATCGAGCCTCGTCTGATTGACACTCGGGGTCCCCAGGTCCTGCCCGAACATACCGACAAGTTTGAAATCATATAACGGACTTGCGCGAACCCTCGGAACGCCCAAAACAATGCTAAATCTAAGAATCACCCCCTAAAACCAAGTGGATCAAACTTGTGAACTTTAAATTCTTCAATTTACCTCCAATGCGACGAAACACACTTACACTACTTGGATTTATACCAAATTTTGTGTGCAAGTCTTAAATGGCAATACAGAACTATTCCCGGTCTCGGAACTCCGTTTGGACCTTAATAACACAAAAATCCACTTCAAACCAAATATTTAAGAACTTCAAAATAAGGAATCAACTTTCACTATTAGGCACCAAAACGCTCCCGGGTCATCCAAAACCCGATTCGGACATACGCTCAAGTTCGAAATCATCATATGAACCTGTTGGAACCTTAAAATTCGAATTCCGAGGTCGTTTACTCAAAACGTTGACCGAAGTCAAACTTGACCTTTTTAGCCAACCTTAAGGAACCAAATGTTTGATTTCAATCCAAACTCTTCCAAATCCCGAACCAACCATTCCTGCAAGTCATAAATAAGTAAAAGCAAGTACGGGAAGTCTTATCTATTGGAACGGGGTTCTAAAAAGCAAAACAACCAATTAGGTCGTTACAATAATAGATAAGACCCGAGGCTTGAATAAGAAATACAGAGCAAATCTGGCATGCTTGGACGAGATTATGACAAATCAATTAACATCGTCAGAATCGAAAGTAGAAGAAGAGTGAAATATAAAGTAAAGCTGCTACACCCAAATTAATCAACAAATCTTTCATTTATACGAACCAAAGTGCTGCAATATAAAACAAGCATCGATGAAGCACTTTATAGGAAGAAAAAGAAAAGCTAAGAGACAGCCAACCTCGACGGAACCGTGAATCGAGCCGCGAACGGACTCAATTTAGCTGAATCGAAGAACAAGAAAAGCAGCAGTTCACGTTGATAGCAAATGGCGTCTAATCTTTTAATTCCCCTCAAATTTGTCACTTTTTCGTTCCTCTATGTATGTATCTGTTTTTGTCCATTTTCTTTTGAGTTGTTTTGTTCTTTTTTTGAAATGGGAGGGGGGTCCGTACTTTGAGCTCAAAAGCTTTTGCCCATCTGCTGCTTTTGAAAAATGAAAAATGTGTCAGGATAGAGATGACTTTTTTTGAAGGGGAGTCGTTTCCTTCTCTTTCAAGATTGGGGTTACGGTTTTCATAATTGGTATTTTATGAGCAGGTGGGAAGGGATAATGATCGCTGGATTAGAGAGGAGTAGATGACTAAGATTAAATCTTGCGTTTAAGTGGAGAATGGGCTAATGGGTTGAGAAGAATAAACCTTTGTCTTGCCGGACTACTAAAATCCGAAAATGAGCTCCCAATTGGCCCAAATTCAATTCTTTCTCATTGAACAAAAATAAAAATAAAAATACTACTGAAATATACTAATTAATAAGAATAAACTATTAAAGTGAACTATATATTAAAATAAAAATATTTTTGGTATTTTTAGATGTTAGAAAAAGGTACAGAAAACTATATTAAAGTAATGGTAAAAATTATAATGTTATCATTATAAAATACTAATAAACTTAAATAAATAAATAAAAGATTAAAAAAAGATATATAATAAGAGAAGAAATATTATAAAGCTATTTTTTTGTGTATTTGAACTTATGTTTTTCAAAATTAAAAGTTGACTGAAATTCTATTAAAATGAAAAATAAGTAAATATTTTTAAAATACTACTTTTAAAAGTTGCCCGGGTCAAAAATTATGTGCTTACATTATATGTGTATAATTATGTATAATCAACATATAGTCTATGTATATGACTAGAAAAAGTAAATGTCGAATATGACCAGCTATTTGTATAAAGATCCTGTATAATTCTTTCACTGCACCTAATTCATTTAGTGTCACGATCCGGAATTCTCACCGTAAGAACCGTGATGACGCCTAACATTTTACTTTCTAGGTAAGCCAATGTTAGAGATTATTAAACCAATTCTTAAGCCTTTCAGTGATTAATAATAATTAAACCATAACAAGTTAAAAAGAGTGTCGAAATCCATAACAATCTTAATATATAAAGCTACCCAGAATCTGAAGCATAATCCACGAACTTCTAAGATTTAACTACAACAAATGTCTGAAGGAAATATAACTGTTTTCTATACCAAAAAAAATAGTAAAGTGAATGTATGGAAGGGGACGTCAGGGCCTGCGGACGCCAACAGGTCTATCTTGGATCTCCGATCAGATGAAGCCAGCAACTAAACTAAAGATCAGCTCGAATCGGTACCGAAATTTGAACAGAAAGTGCAGAATGCAGTATCAGTACAACCGACTCCATATACTGGTAAGTGCCGAGCCTAACCTCGGCGAAGTAGTGACGAGGTTAGGACAAAACAACAACATAAACATATGCAGTTAAACAATATACGAGCAATAACAACTCATAGAAACTAAACAAATAATAATGGGAGGGGGAAACATGCTGAGGGGAGTACAAGATCATGAAAATGGTAACAGTAAAGAAACACAACAAAAAACATACTTTGCACCAATGAAAATATTAAACATAGCAAAACAAGTGCACAACATCACTCTTCGTGCTTTTACTCTCACCTCACCAGAATAAATGAAAGAAACGATGATAATGAATATAAAATGACACGACATCAACCTTCGTGCTTTACACTCTTCCTCACATGATAATGGATATGAAATGGCACAGCATCACCCATTGTTCTTTACACTCTTCCTCACACGATAATGAATATTAAATGGCACGACATCACCCTTTATGCTTTACACTCTGCCTCACCAAAATAATGAATAATAACAACAGGGAGATAGAATTACCGATGACAAGTCTCACTTCAACATTTAGTTCCACAATGTCAACCTCAACTTTGAGTCTATACTCAATCAATATCAAATTCCATAAAACATGATAAGAGTTTTTCAACATAAAGAATAACTAGTCTAAGCATGAATAATATGATTAAAGAATATAACGATTACAAGAATAAGACTCACTCGCATGCTATGACTCAACAACAATGCATAGGTACTCGTCACCTCACCTATACGTTGTACTCAACAACCAAACATGTAGCAAATAGGCAACAATACCTAATCCCTCAAGCCAAGGTTAGACATAAAACTTACCTCGCTCCGCAGGCGACCCAATGCTCAATTACCTCTTTTCCTCTAGTATCCACCTCCGAACCAATCGTATCTAGCGACAATTAACTCAATAGTATCAAATATTGCTAAAGAAATAAACTTCAATACATGATTTTAGGTTTTCCCAACACTTTCCCCAAAAATCAAAATCGACCCCGGGCCTGCTTGGCCAAAACTCGAGGTTTTGACCAAAACCCATTCACCCCGAGCCCGAATATATAATTAGTTTTAGAATCCGACCCCAAATCGAGGTCTAAATCCTCATTTG